TTGTCAGTCCTTTTAGGTTACGATCTATTAAACTCAAGCTTAGTATATTTTATCATGTCTTTCATAAATTACAACAGATATTTCATTGTTATTATTTAATAAAGAAAATATCACAAAGGAGATAGAAATAAACACGAGTTTCCTATCATTTTTACGAGTTATTCTTCTAGGAAGTGTCTTTATCACATTCAATATAACTTTTAAAAGATTTCTGAATATACATTGAAAATTTACAGAGAAAATTTTGTATTCCGTGAAACCTGTGTAAATCGGAATCGCACGGTACCGAATATATTTAAAAAGCTATTCAAAACGGTTTGAACAGGTTTTTTCACATCGAAAGATCGCTACGTTTCGAAGAATTTCTCCATTTTATTTTGGTTCGGTTTTGAACAGGTTTCACTGTATATATATAATCAAACCTCCGAACAACGGACACTGACGGGATCGTAAAAAATGGTCTTTATTCGAAGGGGGTCATTGTACGAATGTTATTCTTTACGCATCACAGAAGAAACGTTTCTGAAAAAATGGCTACTGGCCGTTATTAGAGGTTTGAATGTACTATAATTTGGCTTTTAGTAATGGATTCTGCATCCTTATTTAATGCTGTTGTATTTTTTGCTGTTTTAAAGTACAGGAAACTCAAATAAATAACATTATATTGCTCCAATGTCGTCATATTCTATATATATAGTTTAATTACCGAAATAAAGTTTTAAAAAAATTATCATCGGATCGTTAATCTAATTAACTGCTTTACATTTTTAATTAAATTATACTTCATCATCGTGTAGAATTCAATATTATACTTATCAGTTTTTGTTTTATTAATATCGAAATCATTGATTTTTTTACTAACTCCAATTAATTCTAATCGTCTTTCAATGGCAAATTATATAGTCATTAATTAAATTCTAAAATTACGCTGAAATTCGTTATACATCTAAGATATTCAGAGAAAAAAAGTATATTTTGTCATCCCGGTTTAATTATTAAAATTTTTAAAATGTTAATTAATGACATTTTTTTATGAGACGGATGATGTGAATTTTTTAAAAATCTTCTTGTTTAAATTTAATTCTTGAAATTTTTGCTTATATATTTTATCAGGAATATTTTAAATAAATAAGAAATTAATTTAGTTTTTAACATCTTTAACTTATTATTATAGTTTAATTATTAATTATTTTATAATTAACTTAAAATTAAAAGTAATAAGAGACTAAACAAAACAGATCAAAGCTTTATTCAACAGTTTTGTGCTTAATAAGTACCTCTTCTTTCTCTTCTTTCTAAACAATTTTCAAATTTCACCTGGTGAAAAACATTGATTTTTGTTTTTTTAAACAAATATTCGATAAGAATATTCATACCGTAGATATATTTTTTTAAATTATTATTTTAATTCCTATATCACATTGCATGAAAGACTGATGTGAGAATGTGCCGACAACAATGGTTGATAGGATTAACTGATGAAGGCATTTGTTCCTTTAATGGTACTATAAAAGAATAATCTTGCAGCTGTACTGCAAAATTTCAATAGGAATCTATTATTTTTTTAAATGATCGGGCCCCAATTGAAAATTTTATACAAGACATTTCTATCTTTTTATGGAAAATTTACTGCTCCTACAGAAAATTTGATTGTGTTGCTAAGCTCCAAACCTGAGTTTATGCATATTTCAGACAATATTTGATCGATAAAAGAGAATATTCTGCATAAAAATTAAGTAAATACAATGATTTTAAGAGATTATGAGAAAAATTTTTAAAAGTTTATTTGAACGTAGGCAGCCTTTTGCCATATATGTAAGATATCAGACATAAAAGATATTGACAGATTATTGGTTGGTGTAATGGTTATCTTAACGACGACTGGCTGAGGAAGTACTGTTGTTTACCTCTTCCTATTTCTTTAACCAGTTATCAATAAAGCTACTATATTACTAACCAATCTCTATTAAAGTCTTTTACGTTTGAGATCTAACATAAATTGCAAATGTCGACATTAAATTACCTCTATCATCTCCTAAAATTATAATATTTACACGCTTCATCCTGCCCGAAAGAATTGCAAGATAAAATTTTCATTTATTTTACTTCATCAAAATTATCTTTTGAAAAGAAAATTTAACACCGAGAAAGATCAAAATTGACTTTTTTTTTTTTTTTTTAAATACTTCTCTTCTGTAAAAATCTGAGAACAATCTACTAAATTTTCCCCGGGTGCCCTCAATTATTTTAAACATACATTTTAAAAAAATTGTGCTGTTAGTGTAGCAATAAAATCTCTCTTTTTTTACTTATCTATTTACAAATTACTGTAAACAATATGATTTTTTTTACTTTTAAAATGTTCTCATAATTGATTTTCCAAGATCAATTTTTTATAATGATAAAAAAAAACAAACCGCAAAATATGAGAGTTATTACCATTTTTTTCCTCTTAGTTTAAGGAATTTAAATATGGGTAAATGTATACATATATATATATTAAGTAAAAAAAATCTCCGATTTGATCACTAGATGTGATAATTCTTGAAAACAGAAGAGGGGGAGGGGAAAAGAAACATCAAAAACAATCAATAAAACATGCAAAAACTGCAAATATATACATAAAAATATATAAAAAACGAAACAAAAATACTTCTTCACTTCGAACAGCACTCAAAAATGTAATATTTACATCCACATTTTTTTCTTTTTTTCTTTTTAATATTTCTACCGTTTGATGTGTTACGATGTGACAAATTCGAAATTAGATGCACGTGAAAATGCAACTAAACCATTTTGAAAACTACAACTACATTTAGGCACTTCACTTTGCCAAAATTATTTATAGAAGTCAAAAATATTATCTTCTTTTTTTGAGGTCTAAAGTGTTTCAAACAGTAATTTTTCAAAATCTAAACTGTAATAAAAAGTATTCTGTGTGATTATGTGCCTCTACAAACTGCATACTTTATATTATTCTAATATACCAATACTGTTTTTTTTTTGCGAATTTTTTTTTGTTTTTTGCCCCTTGGAATGGGTGTAATAAGGAAAGAATGGATGAGATCGTTGTTTTAATATATACATATTTATATGTATATATATATATATATATATATAACAGGTAATTAAGTTGTATAATCCGACCCGTAAGAGGCACACGTCCGTGATGAACAATGTACATACTCTTAGTTCCGGGTGTGAAGCGTGAGACACGGTCTCAATGAAGCACTTGAATAGGTATAGTTATGTGACCAGGTACAAAGAATCGCGTGACCCAAAGGGTACTCGTCCGAAATAGGCACAGTTGGATGTGTCCAACATGATGGTGCATAGTTTGCAGACGGAGAGTTTTGTTCAGTTGTGTGACACATGGGCAGGTTGAGCGTGGCTTACTCATTTATGTTGGACCTGTCGTAAGCGAGATCTTTCCGATTTCAGTACCGTTTCTTCACATAAAATGTGTCATGAATGATCATCTCTGAAGTCTTCTCCTCTGTTAGGCTGATATTCCACCCCAGGGTCGAATTGCATCAATACAAACACCTGAACAAAAGAAAAAAGAGTAAGAAAATTAGTTTGTAATTCAGGATTCTCATTAATAAGGATTTCCAACTAGTTCATGGCTCTTTCACATTCTAACTTGACAAAACTAGGTTACTGTTTGACGTTATGACTCTAATACTTGCTGTAATGAATAACTCCCATTTATCCTCTTCTCCCTCGGTGGCAATCTAACTGAGAATAATTGTCAGTGAATAGATTTTATATTTATTTTCTCTCAGTTTTACTATAATTTAGAAACTGAATACAATAACCTTTAACATCTTTATAGCAACTACATGCAACTAAACTATAGTAACCTATAAAGTCATATCCTCCGTTCGAGATCATTAAGAGTTAACTCGTTAAAAGTTAATTAATTAGCCAGATCTTATTGTAGCACAAGCAAAAGCCTACTCTATTGGATAACGCTAATGACAGTTTACTAATTTTACGCATAAATTATTTAAAATGTGCATAAATTAATTATTGGATAACAGTTTTTATACTTAAATAACGTAAATAAATACTTTATTCACAAATTTACTGTAGTAAATTCATTTATAAGTAAATATTTCGCTTCAATATTGTATTACTTTTAAATAATGTGAATATATTTATTAATTTTAGGTGTAAATTTTGAATAATTTTATAAATAATAATTTTTTTATCATGCAAAGCTTATTTTTTTATAGAAATTTATTATTTTAAACCGAAGCTATTAAATTTCATAAAATAAAAATTGTAATTCTGTATGGTGTAGCTCACTAATTAAGAAATTATTATAGCAGAAATTATTTGATTATATTTTAAATTATAAAATTTTTATCAGAAAAATACTAAGCGTGCCTTTCTGGATGGGTGTCATTCATCAAAATTTTAATACATTTATGTTTTAAGTAATTTACTCAAATGTTAGTATTCATTCGTGACATTTTTAATTCAATTTTATAAGCTGTAACGGCATTTGATAAGTTAAAAATAAGGAAAAAAGTAACATTACTCACCCTATCTGAAGGAAGAAGGGAATAATCTGCAGGAGGATTTGTTATTACAAAACGCTTCGAAGATGCTTCACCCGACATACTGGGGTCTTTATATCTATAAAGACCTATGCACAGCATGCCATAATTTCTAAGAGCCGCAACAAACAAATCTCCATACTTTCCGCCTTCCTAAATAGCATAAAAAATGTTATTATTTAAAATTTTTGGCTGTTCTGTAGATTAGATAGACCATTGCAGTCGTTACACTTACTCCGTGTTGAGCAAGTGGTCCATCAGACAATTTAATTTGGCCCAATCTGCAACGATCCCTGTTCGAAAGAGATTCAGGAGTACTGTATCCTCCCCTCAAGCCTGCTCCTTCAGCTAAAATCAGTTCTAATTCTGGAGTAGCTCCTCCGGTTATCAAAGAACGTATCAAGTTCAAAGCGTTGGCATTAAAATAAGTCTGGAAATTTAAATCCAAATTTAATCATTATATGATTAAATCAGGGATTTAAAAATAGTGAAAGTGTTTACCGTGCTCATTAAAGAATCTAGCACGCTAACAGTAAAAGCAGTACCACATGCAAACGGTTGAGTTAGATATAACTCCGTATCTGGATCATCGTCGTCGTCTTGGTCCAAGAACTGTACATTTGTATCATTTACTGAAATCATAAATTTTTATAATTTGTAAATTTTTGTTGATTTTTTATTATATACACAAAAATTCTTACCTAATTCGGTTATTAACGGCACTGTAGAACCAAAAACTGAGCCCCTACGTTGTAGCACCAGTGCATTGCCTGATGAAGTAAATGGATCTGGTTCAGCTGCATCTAAAAATAATTATTCTATCTTGATAACGGGGGTTAGTATTACTAAATAGGTTAAATATTAATAAAGGGGTTTCTAAATTTGTTAAAGTTTTAAAATAAAAATTTTAAAGTGAGCTTGAAAGCTCATAGTTTAAATTCATTATCTTCGAAACAAAGTGAAATATATCAATATAATTTCTAGATAATTAAGTTTTCTAGAAGAAAAGAAAATTTTCAACCACTAGGTGGCGCCATTATTGCCTTTAAATAGAAGCGACGACTAGTGACGAGAATGGGAAATGCAACAATAGATAAAACTGATGAGCATTCTTTGCAACAGGAATGTTTTTAACTGAATTTCGGTAAGTATAACTTGACATTTTTCATTTTGTTTGAAACAAATTACGCTAATTTTTAAGTCTAGTTTTAATCTGTAACAATAAGCAAGACATGTCGCAAATGAAATAAAAAAACTGCTAATGCTAAAGATGATCGATGCTATCGTTAACGTTTAAACGTCATCTAAGTATACAATTTTTATAGCTAGCATATAAAAATTATTTTGTTTTTTGTTTTGAATTATATTGCAATAAAGTTAAAACTCTCATGATTATTTACTGTAATTGTAATGTCCTTCTTTAAGCCTGAGCAAACTTAACTGTGGCTCCCTTATTAATTAAAATGTTATTTTTATTTACTGCTCTTTCAAATTTTTACACCACTAGCCCGAAAAACTCTATGTATAATCTTGTTTTGAAAAATTATATATTAAAAAATCATAAATAGATGTAAACAAAGACTTACTTTGATTTATTAGTCCTATAGAATCATCGAAAGTCATAGCTTTGATGTTTAACGATGCTAAAATCGCTTCTTTATCTGCTAACGTAGGATCATCGCTGCTTGGTATTTTTGCAGAAAGAATAACACACATGTCACATAAGTTAATGTTAACTGCACGAAGATCTGCTCTGCTTAATGGAGAACCCTACGATAAAAGTTGAAAAAGTTTTATCAGTTTCTATATATTTAAGAAAAATTGATTTCGAAACTTTCATACATTTAAAATTGATATTTTTGGTAAATTCTGAAGCATTTTCCACTCTCTCCTTAAGTAGTCTGCATTTCCAACTACTACAACATGCTTGAGTTCGTGATAGTGAAAGTTACTGGCTCGAAGAGGCATGATGAGATTTCTAAGACCCATCAAAGGAGAATCGGCATCAGCGAACAGACATACAACCACGTGACCGTTAAGAACAGTCATAGCTGCCTGATTTCTATCCTGAAAGAAGTAAAATTTATTATTCACATTTCATCATCGTCCGTTCTGCACTGTATCTTTTAAGTTGCGCTACGTCTACAGATATATGTAATGTAATTTTTTTCGATTTTGTGATTTCAGAAATAAATCTTCGAACAGATGCCATCTGTGCTCATGAATTTATTTTTACAAATATAAATATTCACTCACCAATATGCAGTCTTCAATCGTTCTAGGTGGACACCAATGAAACATTCCAGTAGAATCATACTTCATTTCGAGTTTCTCGAAGTCAAATTCTTTGTTGTGGGAAAGTATGCCAGCACTGTAAGGTCTTTCTGCCACAGCTTGATTATATCCTCTACTGGACTTACTGTAATAATAAAATCATCACTAATCTATATTTAGTTTGGTGGACAATCAAAAAATGACGAAATCTGGAAAACCTGGAATGTGATTTTCTTCCATTTCTTGGTGAATTGAGAGAAGTTGTGGAATTCTCTTGACTGTGACTTCGATTTTGACGGTTCCAATGCCCATTATTTCGAACCATACTTGCTTGAGAGTGCAGACTGTTAACTGTAAACATTTCAAACAGCGATTAATAAAAAAACCAAGGAGAAATTATAGTGAAAATCTGTTTACTGAGTGCCGTAATTTAACCATCTTCCATTTAGAAACTCGTAGATAATAACAAGAAATTTGAAAGTTTCTCAAAAAAATATGCAAAAAATGGCAAGAAATAAATTTATAATTTCATTATAGTAATTAGCACTTATAATGCCCTCTTAACAAATGGAAAACTTTTCAATACGATTTCCATTAAGGCGAAACAGATTAACTCCGAGATTCATACTATATTTACCGTCACCGGTATACCTGAAGTGTGGATGATAGAACTGTCAAGTTTTTTATTCCATACGTTCAAGTATACCAGTACTTGTGTACCCAGCTTAAGGTAAGAACTAAAAACAACGTCTTAACACAACGTTGTTTGTAGTTAGTCAAATAAGGGTTCGAATCCTTCTTTCGCATGAATGCTTGCGTTTATCAGATTTTAATGCAAGTTGTTATTTAAAGATTCTCCAACTACAAGCGTGGCATTGCATATAAATTATATTTTATAATAGATTATACTAAATTATTTTTTTGTCAGTCCTATTTGCAAAAGAGTTACAGAGTTGTTTTTATGGTAAAAAATGGATTAATCTTACTTCACGAATCTCAGCAACATAATCCATTACTCAATTTCTGAATGTTGTTTCATTCAATACAAGATATCTGATGTATTTTAACAAAGAAAGTTTAATTATGCTCACCCAGCCGTTAAGATCGATTCTGTGATTATTTTTATTATAATTATGGAATAGTTTTATTTAAAAGCATTATCCATTTTTGTGAAATTATAAACAAACAACACATCAATCTATGCCAAAATTCCAATTTGTGTTTGTGTAATTAAAGTCGATCTTTAACGTACTTTTCACTCATTGCAACTCCCTTTCAAAATACGAATATTTACTTAATGTTGATCGTTATCAAATATACGAATGTGGTAGCTTATTGCACTGTTCTTGCACTATAAAATTATCCAAAACAAACTAAATTTATGTTATAAATATTCTGTTATGAGTTACATTTTACTATAAACTACAAGCGAGTCTCTACAGCGAATCCTTGTTCGTTTATAGATCTAGACATCATTTCTACGCGCTTGATAAACCGAAAAATCATTTTTTAATAGTATAAAACATTATAATTACAGAAACAGTGAAGAAGATGTAACTCTAAGAGTGCATTTAACTGTGCAAAATTTTGAATACTTACGAATATCCGCAGGGTTTTGACTTGCCTCATCTGTTTTTTGATATAAAAAAGGTTATTTTTAGTTGAATAGATATTTGTTAAAAATATTAAAAAAACTTCTTTTTTAATGTGTTCTAGCTCTGTGTAATAGCTACGTTAGTGTGTAGATGTAGGAAAAATGCATCGAAACACACGTCACGTAGCCAAGCAACGCAACATTATCTATTACGTATTCATGCCAAACTGTGATGCTTACTTTTTCGATTATATATATATATATATATATATATTTTTTTTAAATACATAAATATGTGCATTTTGTGTGAAATTTCGATGCATACATACAAAATAATCGTGTTATTTAATAAAATATATTTGCTTTTTGGTTTCATTGTGATTCGGTGCGTGGATTTAACATGTTAAAAAATTGTGTATAAATAAATTTTATTTCTTAATATATTAATTAAAATTGATTAACTAAAATTTTAAAAGTATGAAACAGAATTACTCGTGATTGATGTAGATTGTGACAGAAAATTAATAATAAATTGTACGAAATTGTTAATTTATCAAAAATTTAAAAATCATACGCTTCATAATAAATATAATTAGTGCATTATTTTCTATAATTATCACTTGGTTAATTATTAATAGCGTACGCGACGAGTCGCGTCGCGTGTCGAGCGCGACTTTGCGTCGCGATAAGTGCGATTACTCAATTATTACAATTAAATATAATTCACAGTTTTAAGCTGAATACTGACTTTTGCATTTAATGCAGATTAATGAGCTATAGAATTTAATATTGATGCTGTGAATGCATGCAACATTGCCAACATGCAAAGGAGAGCATTCCAGAAAGCGAACAATCACCATAAATATTGCTCGACTTAATATCAAAGTTTGACATGATTACATTAAAAAAACATTTTAAAAATAATTTTAATTTACTAGAAAATAGAGTAATGATTGCTAAATTATTACGTGATCGATTTAAAAATAATCCACAAAAATCTCGTAATTCTACGCACTCGGAAAGGAAAAAAAAAATTTACAATTCATATATACTAATTTAAATTTAAATTTTTCCATCTGGATATTCTCAAAATTTAGCAATCATTGTTTAATTTTTTATTGTTTTTTCTTGGTTTTTAATTTATATTTTAAAAATGAAGTTAAGAAAGAAATAAAAAAAGATGAGGAAGGAACACAAAACATACTTGCAACACCAATTGCTTGAATAACTCTTACACTTTTCTTAAAATTTGACACTGTTAGGACCACATGAAAGTTACAAGATTAAATTAGAGATCATAGACAATTAAATTACTTAGAATAAAGAAAAGATACACTCATCCAAGCGATAAAAAGAAATAAAAAGGCTTTCAACTCTTCGCATGCAGTAGGGAATACAAATTAACTTAAATTTTTCGTTCGGTAATTTATATCTATATATAATAAATAGCATAATAATTGAAAAATTTCATTTAAGTTAAAAATAGTCAGGAAGTCAGGCAACTCTCTTCCAGCTACTTTACATTTTCTCAATTAAATTACTTACGTTAATGGCAAAAAACCACGAATAAAAATCATTGCAGGTAAATGTAATACGTGCTCTAGCATGCAGAAAGGAATATATAAAATCTAATATATATTCAGATATTTATAACTATAATAATCAGATAAATATGTAATATTTTTTTCTTTCCTCTTTCGTTTCTTATTTTCTGAAAAAAAAAAATAGGAAAGCAGCGGAGCAGATCTCGAAGAGTTGCGGGTTATTTGCAAGAATTCAATTTATTCAATGAGAAAATCAGTATTCAGCCATTTTGTCTCGATTTATTATTTGTTTATAATGATAAGAATAACTCACAATTCTTGCACTTGCACTTCTTTATCAGTTTTGCATCTCTGACATCTTCGTGACAATGTTTGCAATAATACCAAGCGCTAAATTAAAAAAAGAAAAAGAAAAAGAAAAGATGATAAATTTGTTTAGTAAATAAAATAAAAAATAAAAAATGTGTACATAAAATACCAAAAATTTTTATTTCAAATTTGATGAAATTTTGTTTAAAAAAAAAACTTTTGGCAAAAATGTTTACAAGCGTTATGTTATCGCAGTCACGAATTAATGAAGTGTAAAGTAAGAGGAAATGCTGAGGAAGATATAAAAATAAGAATAATTTTATTATTGTCATGGGCATCGTTAAAAATCTCTCATGACCTTCTATTGCTCCTCTGAAGATTGAACATTCGTGTTGGTGAAACTGTTATTTCTCCATTTTATAGGCTTCGAGCGAATAATGATGATAGAGTAGGCATAACTTGCTTTATTATTTTCGAAATTTTCAACAGGAAAAAAATGTAGGAGCCTCCAGCTGAAATCATCTTTTTAAAGAAAAAAAAAGCCTATAATATAGATGCAGTAGATAATTGAATTTGTATCGTCACTAGAAAAAAACATGTCACAACAATACTATTGAGAATCAGAAATTTATAGAGTAATTTAGAGAAGATGAAAACCTAGAGAATGTTCAATTTTAAGTTAGCAATAATTTTCTGTGAAGCACACATACGTCAAACCTCGATATAGCGTCTTCCTGTATAGCAGTATGTCATATAGATAGGCTACTCACAAAATATTAATTACAGAATGCTTCAACCTATATGAATTACAAAATGCATAATTTTGCGTATCAAAGAGTATTGTTATTGTTATCAAGCCGCTAAAACGCAAACTTCAAACTTGATTTTATTGTTTTATATAATTTTCATTGTTTGAGGTCTTCGGTTTAACGCCATATTCGATTCAGTGCCAACTTCGGATGCGAACTATATCGAGGTTTGTATGTATAAAGTTATAGTTTTATTAGTGAATAAGATATTGAGTATCTCTGATGATGGTCATCTCTCTTATCTGATACATCTTTTTCTTTGAGTATTTCTCCCGAACTTTTTTCCAGATTTAATATTAATAGTTAAAAACATATGGTTAAATTTTGGTTATGCCATGAATATTAATCCGAGTAAACATATTAAACAAGAATTAAACGCAGAATATTAATGTTTACAAAGTATTATCCGGTGCAATTCTTTTTTATCAACGATTGTAACGATGCCATATTTTTATCTAATGTTAAAAACATGACATCATTACGATCTCCTAAACATAATTACAATCATATTTTGATTTTTATTGAAATTTAATGTAATTTCTGGAAAAAAATTAGTATGACTGAAAACACATTTCGTCCTTAAAATACTCATTAAGTATATCAGTAATCATTTTGAAAGTATATCAGTAGGTATCATCAATACTTTTTCTATCGTTTACAATAGCATCCGAGTTACTAAATATGCAACTAGGAACTCTAAAAAGAAGTAAGATTTCGATTATAATGAGGTTTTAACGTTATATTCAATTATGCAAATCCCACTGCACCGTTTATACTGGTGAGGAAGGAACATTAAGTAGTTCACTTTTCCCACTAAAAAACAAAATTAAAAAAAAATAAAATAAAATAGAATGTAAGATAAGACTTTTTCTTTATCTGTTAGTACTTTTCAGATGATAGTTCTCAGCAAGGTTCATTTAACAGGGTTATTACATGTGAGGACAGAAAATATCCACTGACCGTTTCACCTCGTCAGCAGACTGTGCCACGAAAAACCCTTGGGTGTTGGCAAATATCTTCACCTTTCTTTGAGGGTTGATAACGATTTTGCTGTCAGTGCCATCCTCATTTGTCACTGCTATTGCCAGCAACAGAAGCTTGAGTTTAACGAAACACAACCTGTAACAAAAAATTGTTTAGGTGAAGAAATTCCTTAAAGAAAAAAAATTCTTCCGTAAAAATGTACTTACTCTGCTGTTTGTGGATATGTCATCCCGATGAAAGATGTTGATAAATTTTCTGTGTACATCTCCATGCCTGTACCACATAAATAGTCGTTCTGCCAGGCAGGGGTATCAGGCGACTGAAAGTAATAAATTATTATTAGTTACAGAGAGTCGAATTTAATTTGAAATATTAAATAATTCTTCCATTGAAACCTTACTCAACCTAACTAAAGAAGTTTCATCATTATTCGTTCGTTAGAAATTAGTAAATTCCTACCGAGATAAAATTATTTTTTGATTAGTTTTACCCTCATTAAGAGTAAAACTAAATTCAATCGATGTACAGCGCATAAAACGTTAATTGGCATATTTAATGTTATGATAATTGAAGGCGCAGATGTACAAAATTTGCCAGTCGGGAGAATAATTTAAAAGTTTCAAATTAATTCCTTGATGATATATTATCAATGATTATTTTATATTATTTTAAATATTAATGAAATTTAAACGAGTAAGCCTTAATTTAATGTAATTAACGTTAATGTTTTTATGGAGGTGACTTTATTTTAATTAAAGTTATCTTCCACATTTCTCTCTTTTTTTCCACGCGCAAATCCTTGTGTTTTATTAGTGAAAATCCCTAATTTAAAGTTGTTCCAAGTACAAAGATAGCGAATAATGTATAATAAAATTTACTTACCGTTTTATACGACCTCATGGCAAACAGATTTGCCACCATGGTAGAAAATCCGGGTGCTAAACAACTTTGGGCAATAAAACCAAGTTTTAATTCGGCTAAACATATGACGTCGTCACCCCTCTTCCAGTTCCAACTCGGGATATTCAATAAATATGCCTATAAAATTATTTAAAAATTGAAAAATGTTACGTTATTTATGATTAGATAACGATAATAAATGTAACAGTTAACCAATAATCCCGTAGAAACGATCGTACTTGACTTTATGAGGTTTCTATACGAAACCTTAAAAATGTTGGATGAAATGGAATGAATTAAATGATAAATCAATAAATATAGAGTTTATATTTTCTATTTATTGATTTGTTATTCATAAAAAATTGAATATATTTGTTAAATATGAAAGGTGAGTTAAACATCGATTTGAATTTTTTTGTTTCTCAATCGATGCTTAACTACGTCTCTAAATATTCTAGTGTCATACGAAACTTATATCTATCTTTAATGGCTGAATAAATGACCATCGATGTGACACATCAACATTAATTTTATATATGAAAATGAATGATTATCGGCGTGTCCACTCTAAAGTTATCGCTTTAAGCAGCGGTTGTAAGGTGTAACAATTGGTATAAAGTATTAAATTATCGCGCTTATGGTTTAATTGACTGACTTGTGTTCATTTTTAACGGAATTAAATTCGTTTAAGCGAATTTTTGAAGCATAAAAGTAACGTTTATCCGTGAAAATCAATAGAATTTCCTCTGGGTCAAGTAAATTTATGTTTCATTACATGATACGAGGTGGCGGATTACAAACTTTAAGATTCCGTTTCGAGTTAAGAAGTGTTGTAAATTTGGCAAATTTCTACTTAAGATACACGGCAAATAATGTTTTATATCGTTAAAACTCCCATTGAAAGTTATAAAATAGGAAAAAAACCGTTTTATTCAGCTTATTTAAATAACAATCTATCGCAACTGCTGCGCAATAAAATGATGAATAATGGATCTGTTAGCGATTTCTTACTTTATTATGATACTGCATCAATTGTATAATAACCCTGATGTGATCGGAGAAATTCTTAATAGAAATCACTCTCATGATGTTTGCAGCATCCTCGGCATCCGGATCTTGACAATACTTGTTAGATAATACTAAACAAGCATCCGCTTCATTCACCTGCGTAAAGTATATCCTCAGTAAACATAGAATTAACTTTCGTATAAGACTATTTAAAAATTCTTTCTTAAATGTAAATATTTAACGTGTCAACTTTATAAAATTGTCAATAAAGCTTAGATATTTACTTTTACTCTTTGCAGATCTATCGGGCTCATTACTGTCCCTTGAAAAAATTCTACTGTTGTAAAATGCCTTTTTATCAAACCTTCTAACTCTAAATCCGGAGGTTTTCTAGTCAAAAATAAATAAAGTAAAAAGGAAATAAATTAATATGAATTTTTGAAGATAAATATAGAAAAAAAATGATAAATTGGATGTGTCCTTTAAATAGAATTAAATGTAAATCGTATTTAAATAAGTATTATTAAATATAAATTGCATTTAAACAAAAGCTTTGTACAGTAGATATAAATTATTCCTTACTTGTATGGATTTTTTTAGAATATTTCATACACGAAATGTAAAATATGAAGCCCACAATGTGCTTTCTAATGCACTTTTGTCAAAAAAATAACTTAAATTATTATTAAATTATATTGTATTAGAAATAAAAAAAAGTTAAAGATATATATCTATTTTTATAAATAATCAAAATATATTATATTATTTACTATTTTTTACGCGAAAAACTGTTTCAAATGTGTTCTTTCGCGTGTCTTTCAATCATACCCTTACAAAGGTTAGAGGTGCGACCTGCGGCCTTTTATGGCTTCTGGTGTAGCCGCATAAAATGTAAAATTGTCCAAAGATGAATATTTCTCTCATTTTTCGAGTTATAAAAGTTAACTTTCTGTTCTATAAACACATGCTGAATTTATACATCTAAGAATACATGTGGCTTTCAGGGCCGTCGAGAACTTGTTTGAGTCCCAAGGATAAAAAGGGCTTTTTACTTCTTAGCCGGCTCCTTTAACCTTTTGTTTTTGAACAAACGAACTATTTTGAATGTTTTCTTTATTAATAAAAAGCAATCTTAATTATTTTATTTTCTGTTAATTTTATAGGAGTGGGAATTACTAAAGGTCAGAGAAAAATTTCCAGCTTTCCCTCTCGACGTCCCTGATTGCATATACACCCCTGAATTGGCTTTCTAATTAAAAAAAAAAAAAAAAAACACTCCTTACCTCCTACATAAGTGATACGACTACATTACTTTAATGAAAATAATCTTCGTTAATGCTAAATATATTATCATATAATTATTTAAAAATGAAGAATTAATTTCTATAATTATAAAACTGTTAATTATTCATTTATATGCAATAAAATTACACGAGAAAAATTAATATAAATTTAAATTTATACTGTATTATAATGAGATAAGTTAATAATCACGAGATCCTTAATATTTAAGTGCTTATTTGGGATGCAAACCGTAAAATTTTACTTGAAAAGGCCGTAAAGCTGCCATAACTCGTAAATATAGTTGCTGACAGCCATTCTTTTCTAGAGTTACATCAAAGAATAGCTATTGTAAGCACTTTAATGAATAATATCATAGGCGTTATATCGGGGTCGAAGGTTATTCTTTGTCTATAAACACAATCGAAGAAAACTTTGACATATTTATAATTATTAAATCGATAAAATTTAAACAAAAATGCAAATTTAATTTGCTTAAAAAGAAATTAAATTCGAATAAAACAAAATCACATTTAAGCAAACGTGATTTAATTCTAAATTGTACAATTACCCTCATAGGATTAAAGGCCTTTATAGTTAACGTTATTTACTTCTAAGGTTAAATCAGTTTTTAATTTAAGTAATCCCGGAAAATTAAACTAATTACCTGTGCAGGAAAACAACTTCTACATCTACATCTTCTCTATCCTCGTGTAGAAACTCTTTTAAAAAATGCGAAACGGAGTCGTAAGTGATATGGCCACAAACCACGATATGTCTGGTAGGGAATACAAAAAATTGTGGTTTTCTCTAGTAAAAAAATATTTTTTCTTTCATTATAATTTGTATAAATATGGAATTTTGTGTATTTAACCATTAGGCATAACTTTTATGACAGTTGTAATTCAGTCAAAATGGCTTTTTGCTTATTTATGACGCATTAACGAGACATTTCGATTAATTTTCGGTGTATTTTTTGTCTTATTTTTTCATCATTTAAAAAAAAAAGTTTAATGACGTTTAGATAAACGTAATAATTTACTTTAATTTACATTTAACTAAGTGTCATTAAATGTAAAATGTAATTTACATTTAACCAGAATCTCATTAAGTGTAAATTACATTCTAATGAAATTTATCAATTTATTAACGAAATGTAAGAATTAAAATCAATATTATTTGCTTATTTTTTATGTTATTTTCTCTCTGTGTATTTTTAAGGCTATTAATTTTTTTAATGTTCATTTTTATGAAGAGAGATTCTCAAAATGGGAATTTAAAAAATTGCCGAAAGAAAAATAAAATATTTAAAGAAAAAATAGAATGACGAGAAATTGCAAAAATAATGGCAGATTGAAATGGCAAAAAATGATAAAAAAGTAACTTTGAAAATAAAAAAAATATGCAAACAAAAATAGCAACCAGTAAAATGAATAACAATTAAACGTCAAATCTCGATTAACTTTTCGAAATTGCTAAGAAAAAATATATAAAAAATAAAATATTTTAAAAAAATTGCCATTTTTATATTATGCAAAACAAATTTAAAATCAAATTATTGTTTTTTTTGTGTGCAAATATTCATTTATTAAATGCAAAAAATGGGAATAAATTAATATATAAAAACAGGTTTATATTGAAGAGCGTGTCATCAGTCGTCGTAACGTAACCATCAAACGTCTAGAGACGAAAATCAATCACCATTTATTTTTATTCATTAATCTCCAGCAACCAATTTTCCCCAAAGGGAAACTTATTTACACTTTCATAAATCAAAACTTCGGTAGAGTACTTCATTCTAGTTATGCCTGAATGGTTTATCCATAACGTTCGGATATTTACATCAATTTTTTAAAACACTTCCTACGACCAGTACATAGAAATTAAATGCGGCGTGAAAGGAAGATGAAGATAAAAAAAAATTAGTAAAATAAATATAAAAATAGGAAGTAAGGAAATAAATAAATAAAGCTAAGAAGGGAAGGAAAAATCAGGACTGCCAAAAAGAAAATTTACAATAAACTACCTTTTTCCATATTCTGCAGAGTAGCAACCGCTGTACTTGGAAGGGTGTCCTATCAACTCCGTAATTTCGGGTATCACACTTGCGAAGACAGCCTACAGAGGTCGCCAGACGAGTATTGCGGTTCAGTAAACATGAAGCCAAAAACAGAAAATAGCTAAACAAGCTCCAATTTTTTTTTCTTTTATAAATATCTAGCATTGAGCAACCACCCGGATGGAGATTGATATAAAAAGTCTTTAAAATTTTGTACATTTTTGTAACATGTTTTGAATAAAATCGATCAAATCGTAAGCTACAGTAAGAGGAGGGAGAAAGGGAAAAGAAAGAGATGGATAGTCCTCTTATTGCTTAAAGTTTAATTTAGAAAGTAGCTTTCCTAGGCGTTACTCAATGATAGATGGGAACCTTTACGCTCAAGGCGTATAAAGAAAAATGAAGAATTAACTAAAGCATAGTGACAGAAGCAGAAAGAGAGAAGTGCTGGTGATAAGTGACGTAGAGTGCCAACTGAAAAACATAAAAACAACAACAACCAGAACAGCAGAGAGGGGGTCATCGTTTCGATACCTTTTTCCGTGTTCTCTCTTGTATTCACCAGCGTATTTAGCTCTAGTCCCAACTAATTCTATGATCTCGGGTATGCAACTTGCAAAGACAGCCTATAGGGTAATAGAAAATTCGATCAGTTTGATGCTTTTTCTAAATCATTAATGGAAGTGAGCTTTCAGTTATCCATTCGGGAACGTAGCTTTCAAACGACGATGTCTCAACTCCATTTTTTTGTACTTTTATAAGGCTAATTTAATAAAAACATTCTTTTTCTTAAAATTACACTCAATAGCATTTTAGATAACAAATGTTTAATTTTCTTAAAAGATACACTTACATGCGAACACAACATTAAATAGTGAAGCAAAAACGTATCGAATTTTCTCAACTTTCTGCTTATAGATGTCACAATTTTTTAAATATTCTACATACAAAACAACATTAGAACTTTGTTTCAAATTTATACTTACCAAACCGACTAATATGAATAAAACTATAAACGCTCTTCCTAGCGTAGTGTGACAATATATGTCACCATAACCGACGGTAGACATTGTTACAATCAAAAAATAAACGCACGTCCAATAACTGGGTGGTTCGTCTTCGCCGAAATCTTCTGGATCACCAGAATTTTCTAACTATAAAGAAAAAAATAATCATTTATAAGCAACGAACTTAAAAAAATTCGAAATTAATTATTAAACTACAAACTTCTGCTACAGCAATGACAACTTTCCATAAATTAAACAGAATTGTATTTAAAGTAGAAACGTTACAGGAGAAGCAATACAATTACATTTTACTCTTTAGTGCTATCTTACATCGATAGACACTTAAGTTTATTGGTAAAAGTTTAATAATTATCTACTGTAAGAGTAGAGATTCTCTTGTTAACCTTAACACATCAGCGTGATGTAGCAGAGTTAGTATTTATTGGCTACAAAATCAATTTAATGAAAGGAAAAGACGTACCAGATGAATGATTCCGGCTGCCGTCAACCACACACTAATGACAATAGAAACTAATTGGGCAAGACGAATAGAACTGCTGGTTTTAAGTACGTTTAAGTACTGTAGAATATCTGGCACTGACATTAACCGCAGTGCCCTCAGGAAACGTAGACCTGAGAGTGGAAACGCAACATTAACATCCTCCATCTCAATATGTCTACTACTATAGTAACAAATGTTTAGCAATGATAATAAAATTAATTATCGTTTAAAGCCCAAACAATACTCTCTACGTCATTATGCCACACATTCTGATTAATGGAAAGTATTGTGTAATGTACTCCATAAAACTCCTCCTGGAAATCCATCATTCCAATGATCTGATGACTAAAACAGTTTTAAGTTAAGTAAACTTTTAGAATATTAAAAAAAATAGCTTCTATAATATATTTTAATATTTATAATTTTGAAGATATTTGTAATTTTGGACATTATATGTCATTCTTCTAACATTTAGATCTTTATAGAACATCAAAAATTTGAAAAAAATTACATAAATTTTAACGTTTAATAGCGAAAAAAACACCCCAAAAATATTAAAAATTTTAAGTTAATTATACTTCAAATTTTATTTACAATTTTTTTTATTTTAAAAACAATTATTAAAGCATCTTCAGGAATTTTTAGAATTTTTACTACATTTAAAAAGGGTTTTCACGCATTCAGATTATTAAGAATTTTTAGAGTTTCTGGCAAGTTAAAATTCTTTAAAAATTTAACAAAAAATAATAATAATAATAAAAATTAACATTTAGTACGTCTAACAACTTCACAGACGTGGAACTAAATGTTAGTCGTATTAATGGAAGTGCACTTTCATTTATCTAGAAGTTTAGTTCACTCAGGTTTCACTTAACGATGTTACTGCTTGATGTTTCGCTTTATTGAGCTAGTACTAATTTAATAAATTACTTTTCTCTCTTATATTAGTGCTTGTATACTTACCTATCCAGGTCCTATCCATGTAGATAGATACAAAAGAAGGTGGGATAGTAAAATAGTCGACAAACGAATGCAAATCAAGCATAAACCATAATTTATCGCTAGCTGCAATAAACTGTAAAAGAGGGAAAAATCATTAAGTAATTTAACATATAAGAAATTTTATAGGAACTGTTTTAAGATACTTACACGTATAAAAAAGTACACCATAAAAAATATATTTAGTGCTAAATCTATTTGCTGCGTCGTGTTTGCAGACCACACTTGACACATCTCTACTTGGTCTCTGCAATTATAAAGCATTAAAAGTAAATTATAACGTTTAGAATATGCTTCAATGCTTCCATTTTACATTTATAGTCTACTTTATCATTAGTTTACAAAATAAATCTAGTTAATGATAAGTCTCTATATCAATTGCTATGAAGATTTTAATATATTCGCTCTAAATGGAATGTTTTATAATTTAGAAAATAGAAAATTATATTAAATCCTGTAAATGGATTTAAAATTCTATGATATCCTGTAATTTAAATAGATGTATACTGAATTTGTACACAGAAAATTGTTTAGGAGTGAGCTATGTTTCTACACAAGGGATTTCTCATGGGTTTAATCAATAATTTGTGATGAATTAAGAGAAAATTATATAAAATCCTTATATTTTGAGGTTAAATATATATAAATTTATAAAGGTCTTTTCTGTAATAATGGAATGAAACGACAACTTCGAGTTCCGGACTAACCACACGAAGGAAGATAAGCACTTAGCAAGTTACATATTTGCCATGTCATCAATAAAATCGTTGACGTCTTGGTCAATTCTTCGCGTTTATCCTATCATATACTTTAATTCACGGAAAAAACAGTATCAAAAAATCCTTTAAAATGGACAAAAAATCCTCTGAATGCAATACAAATCTACAGAATTTTTGGCTTATAGAAATGGAATAAAAAATCGAACAATTCTGATGGTTTTGGATCCATTTCCAGACGTGCATTAAAGGGATTATTTTGTCTTTTCTCTTCCTTGTTAGTTCCTCGATTTAAAGTTGACCTCATTATAAAGCGAATTTATACCCTAAAGGCACCCCAAGGCGCTTACAGATATGGGAAAACCAAGTACGTAATAGAAAACACTACAAATTTCATTCGGTATGTAAATCTACCGACTATATTTAGCCGCGTAAACATATAAATATGCATAAACTCTAATTAACGAAACTTTTCATTACCTCATTACAATAACCATTTTACGTAAGTGAAAAATGGTAATTATCAACTCCATCAAAGGGGGGAGCAGTAGTGCAATATGTTACGATATTCATGTATTTAGTATATTAATCGTCATTTATTAATTCGCTTTCTTCCATTTAAAAGAAGGCAAAACGGAAACGGAAGTTAATTCGGTTGACGCCAAACGTAATTAAAAGGCTCGAGACATTAATCACCCCCAAACCTCTCGTTTAATAGACGTTCGATTGATGACACGTAACCTTAATGATCGTATTTTGTCCAAATGTCATCCGTTAACGAAAACCTAAACCAGTGAAAGCAAAGATGAAGAAGATAAGATGCGATAGATAAGCTTCATCCTAATGTGTTGACGTAATCCTTATCCTCGCCTAATTGCGTTTGGAGGATCAAATGCTCATCTGTCATCGAATAGGTTCAAAGAAACAGAAATCGTTCCGATAATGGCTCACGATACGGCGAGTCTGGACGTAATTCAAAACTCTACAATTAAAAAAATGGTTTACTAACTGATTAAACGTAAAATTCTCAGTGGTAAAGAGTACATAAAATGCTATTTTCCTGATGCTTTATTGGGCCACAATTTGAAAAAAATTGTACAGTACATCTGTAAATATACAATGTCTGTCCTTCCTTAATCTTGAGAGCAGTGTTAGATAAATAAAATTCGAGACCAAATATGGAAAAAGTAGGGGCAAGAGACCCCAATTAACTATATAGGAACTTCTTTTCTAGACCGAAAGTCAAGTTATTTTAATTCAAAAGTTTCCCCACAACGGAGGTATATAAATGACCGGCACGACTCTCTTGTTATCAGGAAAAGCATGACGTACAGGGGTAAACACTACTAATATGAGATCGAGATCGTATATTTTAAATTAAATAAATTAAAAATATGCTTAAAAACTGCAGCCCAGCATTGTGATGACGTCACAATAATTTTTGTTCATTGAAGAATTCGTTTATTTACAACGTTGCGTTATATATGTCCAATCGGTGATGGTGTTATTTTATCGTGTTTCATCACGCAAGTTCGTGACTTATAACTAAATAACAATTCGTCGGACAGAGTAGACATTATGCACTAACGGAAATGCCTATCTACTCGAAATATTCGGTAATCTACAATATTTATAGCAGCTTAACCATAATTGAGATAAGTATTTGATACGGACACTGTATCTTTTCTTCGAATAACAGCCAAATATTATGAGTAATTCATGGTAATTTGACTTACAAACTGCTTGAAATAATTAATTAGATAACAGATGTAGTATATTGTAATTATTTAGTAGATAGCAGCCTCGATGACAGGTGTAGGAGGCAAAAAATCTCCATCAACGTAACAAGCATCTTCTATTGACTCGTCTGCGGAAAACGGAGAGCGATATCGATAAAAAGAGGTTCACGTAACGTTTAGCTTCGACATTACGAACCAGTTGTCGTCATGGAAACAAGGAAGAAGTTTTCTTCAGATGCTAAAGTCGCAGAAAGTCCGAATTCCTTTCTTAAAAACGAATTTAATAAAGCTTGTCCTACGAGCTTCTTCACGTCTCGTCACTTGCCAACTTCTTGTATAATTGAGTAGAAACAGTTTACAATATATTTAATAGGGTTAAAGATTTATTAAATGAAGAAGGAGGATGAGGAGGAGGGATATTTTTTTCCTATAATTTCCATTACATATTAATTATTTATAAGAAGACGAATCAAATATGTATGACGTACATATTTTTATTCTGTTGTAGCTGGAGTGCAGTAAATCTTTGATCAATGTTTACGGTGTCGTCTGGAGGAGAAAGCATCGATTTAGCTTCCCTTTTGATGGAAATACTACAATTTAATGGCGGTATCAGACTTTATTTACCGATCGGACCAAATGTTTTATGGTTCCTACTCCACCATCGACGGTTAGGAAGTAAACTTACACGTTAGACTTATGGTGGCTTTATCTGATGCTTAATTTTCTAGTTGCAGGAAGATAAAAGTCGTATAATAAATCCATATACAACTTTATTAAAACGTTACTAGCTCCAAAATGTTACTTCAGCATTAGAAATTCTTCGAATCTCTATTAATATTATTTAATTCTTGCTATAGATTTCTATCGGTATTATATTATAAATTAGTTAAACCAAGGAGCATGGGGTGTTTTCCCCCATACACATCCCTCTTTTGATTGCCTGTGACGCCAAGGGGAGAGTGGAGCGTTATAGTTTCATTGGCACCCAGCAAATTTAAATTAGGGGACCCCCACGTGCAGTGTTGATTTCAGACATTTTTCTTCGGGGGAATTTTTGGGGAAAAATATTTTCTCATAAAAGATTAATTTGGGGTCCCATGTTGGCGGGGGTCTCCAGGCAATTGCCCTTTTTGCCACTAGTCAAGGAGTCGAATTGAGGAATACAGTAAGGTGAGATCAAAATCAAAACTTTCCACATAACGTGGTTCCTATAAGCAATTCCTGCATAACACCTGACTTTGTGACGAATGTTCAACTCGACGACTTCTTTAATAGTTCAATTTAAATTATTTAATAATTTAACACTTTCGCCTATTTATATCTACAGGGTGATGATAAAGGTTAGATGTTCAAAGTTCTCTGTGGAAAGTAGTATTAAGCAAATCTCACCGCAATTTGGTATGCGGTTTCGATTTTCAGAAAAAAGTTTTATTTCAAAATTTATTCACTAGGGCAAATTTGGCGCTTTTGTTTCAGTGTGAATATTATGTACGTTTACGAACGAATTTCGGGAGTATTTGGAACGTGGAATTGATGTCAAGAGTTTAACAAGCAACACACAAGCAGGCAAAGAGAGTACCACGACTGTTCTCCGAAGAATTTTTGCGGATCTTTTTATACCAGAAAGCGTACGTAATATGTACAGTACAGTACATTACCGGACAGCCGCTAGGAAAAAATTTGTACACAGCGCCAAATTTTCCCTATCGGCTGAATCATAAAGTAAAATTTTTTTTTCCCGCAAATCGAAACTGCACACTCAGAACAGAATCTACACCAAATTTGCCCAGTAGTTCTTTCTATAGGAAGCTCTCTGAACACTTACGCTTTAATTATGATAATCCTAGTGTACAAATCTAGTGTTGAACATTTTAATTTATTCAGTCGATTTTTTTTCTAATACCTTTTTAATATTCACGAATTTTCATACATTATTTATACTAAATAACATTAAATAACACACCCCAGACAGAAATTAATTAACCGTAATTATTACAGTAAAACCTGTATAAGCCGAATCGCATCCTATCGAAATTATTCCAGCTTAGGAGCGTTTCCGTGTTAGACAAGTTCAGTTTTAGACAGGTTTTTGTGTACAATATTATATAATTTCGTTAAAAAACGAATAAAACCACAAATTAAAGTTTTATTTTTATATTTGGAAAATTTAACAATTGCTTTTTTTTTAAGTTTGTTGTATTTTCTGCATGAGACAACGATGGATGATGAAAGAAATGTGTTTTTTTTTTTTTTTTTTCCTTCGAACTACAACCGAATACCAATGAATCTTTTCCGGATAGAGATTTTGTTTTCTAGCAAATTAAGTTCAAAAATCCTCTTTTGTCGACAGGAATCGCCCAGAATAACCCAGATAAATTTAAGAAGCCAAATAAATGCCCTGTTTAGTCCATAGAAAATTCTAAAGGAGTATACTCAAATGCACTTTTTTGAAGCACTCGCAATGAAACGGAGCAGTTATAAACGTCTTAAAACTAAAATATACTAATTGATCATGTAAATTATTCAAAGTATATTCATAGCAGATGAGTAAATTCGATTAATTTTTAATTTGTTTGAAGCGAGGATGAAGAAACTTACCTGGAAGCATCGATCATGTAGATGATGAGAGAAGCTATACTCAGTAAGAAAACCAACACCACCTGAGGGAAAATAAAGCGGGATCAGAATGAATTTTATGCAATTATGGCATGAAAACTTTTGATTCTGTTATTAATTTGTGTTAAGTATTAAGAAAACCTTACGATAGTTGAAAATTTTTAAATAAATTTTTAAAAATTCAATACATTAATCTATTGTTTACTTGTTAAAAATGCAGAAAAATACTAAAATGGCTATTATAATCAAAATATATACATATATAATTTTAACTTTAAAAGTTTCTCTTATAATTTATTAAATACTCTCTTTTAAATAATTTTCTAAATTATAAAAAATAAGAATTTTAATAAGTTATCAATAAATAGTAAAAGAAGAATGTTAATAAGTAATTGCATTTTCCCCCAATTGTTAGGGAAATATCGCGGTTTTTTCTTAATATATATCCCTAAATCATTCGTTCTTTAAAATATTAGTTTATTTAGTAAAATGGTTTCTAAATATAACAGTAAGAAATTCCTATTTAAAGAGCTTACCATTGAATCTCTAGACTAAAAAAAAATTATAATCCCCTTTGTCAAGTTAATAACATGTTTGGCAATAGTTAAATTAGCTTTCTTTACTTTTATAAAGTAGCAAAATTCAAGTTATTTCTTTTAAAATTATTAAATTTATTTCATCGCATTTACTGGATAAATACAATCTGTGTTTACTTTATACATTTTATAAGTGTAGAGTGCAATTTATATAAATGGTAATTTACGAGTCGTGTTCTAGTCCCTATAATCTACTTATAAAAAGGATTAAAGTATATAAAAGTTTCTATACTTCTTCAGATAATACTTCTTCTATATTCAACATTACTTTCATTTATTACCAGAAACAAAAGTCATCCAATAATAGATAAACAACTTCTACTCTTATATTACTTAGAAGATGCTGCTTGTTTGTCTCACTAGTGGGTATCCTTTTTCTGTATTGCAGTCTTAACTTTCGTTATTAATTCTGCCCACTTTTGCTAACATCTTTTCATTATTATTATTAATTTCTTAACCACTTTATCTCACTGTTTCGTATAAATGGGTCCTGCTTTAATTAATACAATTTATAATAATAGAAGAATTAGAAATTACCTGTAAAGTTGAAATCACCTAGTAAACGAGTGATAATACTGTAAATTCTTATCACTAAAGAAGATAGAACCATATTCTTTTCACTTTTATGCCTTTTTTATGTTACTTACTATAAAATTTTATTAGTTATTTAATGTCTGTTTTGTATATGAATAACATCGCATCATTTTATCTTTATATTTATCCTGTATCTTCCTGTTCATCTCTCCTTTGCTCATACTCATCCTCCCTTCTCTCTACGTTTACCTTTTGTCTATCCTTTTATGTACTATTTCTGTATTCCTCTCCTATTCTCCTCCCGTTTCCCGTTCCTTTAAATCTTTTATTTATCTCTAGAGACTCGATAGTAATTCCTACACCACGAAAGATACCGATTGGCAGTAAAGTTATATAGGCAAACGTATAAGTTTTCTATAAATAACCAAGCTTGAAAATTTATTTAATTACTTTTACCGTATCATTTTAAGTACTGTTCATCGGAACTCTCTCAACAATTGAAGTTTGTTTTAAAGATGGCACGAAACAGTCACGCAACTCGCTTATTCGTGGTTAGCATTTATCAACTGATGTGTTAGAAAATGTAGTTGTTCTGCTTTCTAGAAAATCCCCGTACGATAATTCCTACGTAAAGGCAATGACTGATGATCCTGTGTGATGTGAAACTTTCTAAACACCTGTTTATGACTGTTTAATATGGCTTTCGAGACGGATATACATCAGAAGAAAAAAGTCGCCGAAAACAACAACAGATTTACTTGAATCTCTTCCAAGTTTCCAAGGAAAAATATGCTTTGTTTCCTCTCCTTTTTTTAGAATATATTGTGTAATTTTTTTTTCTAAATAACATTCGAAGAATTGCATTTCCTCAATGTTTAAGATGTGAAAAAAACGTGTCGGAATTATTAAATTTAAAAAGTATTCTTCCTACTTATATATTTTTATGAATTTTTCGAATTTTTGACATACTTTATACATTTTTTCGACATTTTAGTATGTTTTTCCTACAACTTTTACGCATTTTCCCCTCTTATAAACTATAAATTTTTATCTTTAATTAATTTTAAACTTTATGAATTATTAATTATTTCAGATTTTTTTAATTACTTTGATCTATTAAATATTAAATTCTGCAAGCAAAATTCGATAAATTCACATAATATATTACAAATAAATAAAGATATAATTTAGAAATTTTGTGTGTTTCGTGTCCATTTGTTGTAATTAATCAACTATAAAAAAAAACATTTTAAACACGTCGTTTGTCGTTAGTTACGGATCTAAAACTTCAACATTGATCCAACATGGAAAATTTATTATCCAGAGAGGAATTCTTCGATAAAAGATAAACAATACAGACAATAAAAGGAATCCTTTAGGAGTTATCCAAGCTGAAGAAACTTATTTATCATCCATAGTATGCGTAGTAAAAACTATAAAATATTCTGTATACAAATGAAGCAGAAGGGATGCGGAGGATGAAAGACATTTGTGGCATCGGTACACAATGTAGCATGAAAGTGGGATGGGCACTAAATTCTTGGTTTAGATAACGTAAATGGGTTGGAAAACACTTCAATTTACTCTGTTAAAATCATTCACTCGAGTAAATTCTTTTCCAGTTTTACTAAAGAATAAGAAGGAAAAGAAAAAAAGTTTAAAGTGTGATTTCGTAGGTCAATTTGTAAGAGTAAACAAAGAAAGTTCCTTCGCCAACTTATTGAATATCGTAAAAACTGACAGGACAATAAAAACCACATGCCACTCCTTTATATCGGATTATGACTTATGCTTTTATATTAAAACTACAGTTGCATTAGATACAGTAATAAAATTGCGAGGCAATAGAATGATTCCGATAAAATTGAATTTTGTCGAGAAAATTTCTTCCATTTCTAAAAATTCTTTTGTATGCCCTTTCCTAATTCTACATTCTCTTATTTTACAAAACATTTAACCTTACGGAAGCGTGTACTTATTATTTATTTTATATAATAATCGTTGTAGATGTGCAGTAGTAGTTACTACAACAGTAACTTTGTATCTTATAGAAAAGAAATTATCGTTTAAAAATCACAAATTTAAGCTAGTTTTGCTGATAAATTACAGAATAATCAGATATAAAGTCGATTTGATTATAGGGGATCTTGTATCGATTCTCTCTAATCCAATTTTTTAGTTTGTTTCCAAGAAAATCTTTACTTCTTTAGATTGCACCCTTAAAAAATGTATAAAGAATCTACTGATTGGTTGCAGTTATTTTGTCATATGGTAATTTATTATTACTGTCTCAAAATAAAGTAAATTTTACAGATAATTTGATTAATTACGTCTACGAATCTGCATATTATATCCGCTTTACGACGGTTGGATTTCGGGAAATACACTATCGATCCTGGTTAATCTAGCTTTCTGCTTAGTTCTAACAAAGTTATAAGCTTCTAAACAACGTATAAAATATTACACCTTATAATAAATGCATAAGGATATATCGAAATGCCACACGCCGCCATTAAAGTATGTAATAAAATAATGAAACAAGTCATAATTATCTTCGCTTCTGTAAATTTTGTAACTCCTTCAAATAATTTTTTTCTATAAAAATATTAATTTAAACCTGTTTTCATTGTAAACTTTGCGATTATTGCATATAAAGTCGGTTAGATTACAGTTGAACAGGTATCGATCATTGTTAAGCCATCCTTTTACTTGGCATTAATGCACTATGGAAATCTGGAATGTTTAAGAATCTTATAATGCGAAAGGATGAGGTGATAATTGCATAATAAAGATAAATCAAGTGGTCAGTTGATAATAATTATAGGTTTTTAGTCGAATTAAACCGGTCATCAGTGGTTCGAGTGGATAAAACCATTGAACACGTAACATTGAACATTGGTCGCGGTCTCTCGCCTCACAGGCTGATCACGTGAAGTTTTTCAGGTTTCTTCATGTGTTTAACACATAAATAAGGGGCTGTTTCCCATAGAAAATCTTTCCGTGAGGCTCCCGATCTGCCAAGAGGTGTTTGTTGGCAGACTTGAGCTGCTGTATCACATAAAATCAAATTAAACTCTGACATTGTTGGAAAGAAAGTAATCAGATTAAGAGAAATTCGGTTTAATTTCTCATAAATTTATTTTTATTTAGTTTATTGTAAATTTCTTCATATTTTCCAAGAAATTACAGTCTTATAAAACAATAAATGGAGCTATAAAACGCATAAAATTAAATAGATTATTGAGTAAAAGACATAGGCATATATTAACATTATTCTTGAAAAATTCAACAAATTTTATATACATTATTTTTTAAAGCTATATTTTACAAATCTGTTTAAAGTTAAACCTATTTTATAAGTAAAATTGCAGGATTATACAGAATAAATTCTCCGAACTTCAAGAGATCCATTATCGATCTCCCTTAATCCAATTTTTTTTAGCTGTTTCGTCCTATACTTACACATCAAACTACTTTCATCACCAAGACATACAAATCAAAAATGCGACAATAGAACAAGATTACCCTATTGGGATGCATTGATACGTACAGAAGTACAAACAGCAAGATGCATTCTCTCACATATACAACTGAACAGAGAGTTGCAGCTCCCTTCCAAGCTGTTTCCAGACAAAATTTAGCGATCCTTGACCTAGCTGCATCTTCATTAACTTTGTATACGTCTATTCTTCGGTCCATAAAACAAAAGTTTAAATACAATTCTCTACTTAAGTATGTATAGAGACAATTCCGAAAGCTATTTTGTCGCATTCTATAGAAACTTTTCCAGAATGAAACAAGTCGTAAATAAGTAAAGACAAAAAAAAACTAGTCAAAGAAATGCATTTAGTAACTGAAAGAAATCTAATCAGAATCCAGAACAGGGAGTTTTATATATTAAATTATTA